TTGATCAGCCTTTCTAGTATTGTCTTGAAAGAATCATCTTCTTTCATACTCCTATTCTTGGAAGCAATTTAAAATGAGAATCACGGGGGCAGAGGTATGTTTGTCCCCAGATACTGTCATTTACCCCCCATACCCCTTTTCTCTTCATGGGCTGTTAAATGCGTTTTATTCATAGGCCTTGCTGTTGCCAGTTTTGAGAGTTTGGCTGTTGAATTCCAGGATAGTATTTCCTTCCCTTATTCCTGTATATCTGAAGAATCCACGCAGGGGGTCAAATTAATTAATTAAAGAAGATTACCTCTTTGCTGATCTGAAGTATGCTAATTGCAACAGCAGGCAGATACAGTCTGAAATGGTTCTTAGTGCTGAATCTCAGGTTGTTTCAGACTGTGGGATTCCAGGAAAATGCTGACTCTGGGTACAGGCACTGGGGAAACTCAGATTAATTTTTACCAGGCTCCTAACAGATGCTGATCAAATATGTTGGACCAAAACTGGAGTGTCTAAAGTTAGACTAAGTACAGATTTAGGAGTCTTACTAAATGAAGAAATCCTGACGTACGTTACTGTCTATCTTCAGCTTCCATTTAACTTAGTGGGATTTGCATTTGATCAACAGCCTAAAAGGTCAGACATCTTTTAAATAGAAACACAATCTCAGTTTCAAAGACTGGGAAACTGTAGTTTAGGCTTTTAAGAGGCCTACTGTGTGTGGATGTTACCTAAACTTGATTGAGGAAGTGAGAGAGCATGGCAAAACCAGGTGATCTGCTTGGGTTTAGACTGGTTTTCTAGCCAGACATGATGTAGGGGTCAGGGAGAAGGAAAAACCATATTTTGCTACTTGGTTTTCTCCCAGATTAATTTTTTAAAAAAAAATATTTAACTTGTTGCTTTTTGTTTCCTTAGATGTTATTACTAGAATGTATAGCCTGAGTATGGCCCAAGAAAGTAGATTTCAAATATAATGTAAATAATATGTAATACAAAAATGCACATATTTCTGAGAAAATCCCATGTCATCGTCTTGTCAACAGAACTTTGTCAACAGGTTGCAGCATTTAAGAAGTAGCTTTAACTCTGCTGTTCCTGAGTGAGCAGCAGTTGTATTATGGCATGTATAAACATTCTGTATAAACATGCTAAGTTCTAATGCTTTAGATGGACTTGGCAGCTTACCAGGCCTTTATACGTTTTACCTAATTGAAGCCTGAGGAGTATTCTCGCATGTATGAGACTGTATTAAATGATATGCATATATACCGATATGCAATATAATTAAAATTAACTTTTTGTTCTATTTTAGATAGCCATAGAACTATGTGTAGATTGACAAGGTGTGCCAATTTGAAGCTAACAGTCAGCTTTTTGAATATATCTTTTCCTTTAACTTTGAAATACTGTAAATTCATACTAAATTGGGAGCCCTGTAGTGAAACAGCAAATAAATTTGTTGAGGATAATATATGCTATTAAAGACAACCTGTTTTTGGCAACTAATAAAAAAGCTGGAGGAGTTGAAGAACAGAAGCCTCATGACAAGGAGCAGCACGATAGACGAATGCAGCATCTTGCACCTGGGACAAGGTGGCCGCCCATCGGTGCAGGCAGACAGCTGGCTGGGTAGCAGCTCTACAGGAAAAATATTGGGGAGTGCTGGTGAGCAACAAGCTTGAGAGGCAGACTGGGCTGCGTTAGCAAGCATGTAGCCAGTGTGAAGAGGGACCCATCTACTCAACTACTCGTGTGGCTGCATCGAGGTTGTGTTTAGCATGGAGAAGAGAAGGCTAAGGAGGAATCTGCAGCTTCTTGCAACCTAAAGAGAGGGCTGGACTCTTTTCAGACATACACAGCAAAAGGAGAAGAGGCAATGTCACAGATAGCATCAAATGAATTTCATAAGAGAATTCTTAATCAGGAGAGTGGTTTTTGACCCCTGGAATTGGTTGGCCAGAGGTGGTAGAGTTTCCATCCTTCAAGACATTCAAAATTTGCTTTGGCAAGGCCCAGAGCAACCTGATTGAATTTAAAAATTAGCTCTGTGTTAAACAAGTGTTTGGACTAGATGCTTCCAGGGATACCTTCCAACCTTTTTTTTTATTTTTTTTTTTCCTCCTGTGATTCTATAGCAAGTTGAAAGCAAGATTTACGTTTTCTGGTAGAACATTGCTCACTTCTTAATGGGCATATGTAAACTGAATGGATTTGATTCTATATTTCATAAAAATTTCCTTCTGAAATGCCTTAGTTTATTAATTGCTTGAATTGCTTGAATGTTCAGCTTTATCTTTTCATGCTGTAGATGCTGTACAAAATTAATTTAAAATTTTTTTGTTTGTTTTTGAAAAATGTTAGAAATCAACCTTGTAGTTGACCCAAAGGGCCTTGACTGGCTTGAAGATTTGTGTACCTGTTGATGCCGTGCTGCTGTAGGTCTCTGTAGATAGGCCAAATCTTTCTTTTGGCTAGAAATACTTGCCATAGGTCATCTTTGCAGTTGTAAAACTCTTTCAGTTTAACTGCATGGGGTAATTCTGTGTTTTGACTTGGTGCTGTTGGCTAGGTAAGGTCTATGGGTGCTGGTCATCAGCTGAAAACAACGTCTCACCAAAGTACTTAATCTTTGTGAAAATGAGATTTTATTGGAGCTATTCTATTTTTTCTTCTGTATAATAAGAATTTTTTTTAAAAGAGAAAAATATGTTTAAAGTCTACTGATGCATTTCTAGTTCCATTATGTTTTATTATGGGATCTTCTGCTATAACATTGAGTAATAGTATAATACTTGAGAGCTTTTGTCTCCATAAAAAATACAGAGCCTTTCATGCAGAATTTAATGGTATAGAACCCAAAGCCAGCAGCAGCTCCCAGCTTTCCATGCTCGTTGTTTGTTCTCTTAAGATAAATCATTTGACTTTGAGTTTGCATTAGAGACAGATTAAGCTGCCAGTGTAAACATTGTAGGATTGAGTGTTTTGAAAGATGTGTGTAATTTTGTGAAGGAACTAAGCCCGCAAGTATCCGGAAGCAATGTAATGTTGCATGTGTTCAAATAATATTTTGCAATGTTCATGAGAAAAGGAAGTAAGTATTTAGAAAAGTATTGGTGAAATGGTAACAGTTTATGATTCTTAATTTTTGTTTACTGAAAACAATTCTTGACACATGGAGCTTTTATTGGAATTTACATTAAAAGTTGATCCCAGAAGTAGGAGAGAGGCACTTGTGTTACTGTACAGCCAAAAAATGCCATTATTTATAATTGGGTAACCTTTCCATTTACTTTTGACAGTAGAATTGGGCTAGAGTGAAAATGTTTTGGTTTTAAGTCTCCAAGTTTGGTGTCTATTCGTGAAACACTAGACATCTTCTGTTTTTAAAAGAAATAGTAAGTAGTTCTCAGTTTCCTGCAACTTATACCCGTTTATTAAAAATGGAACCCATAAAATGTAGAATTTGAAATTGTGATGTGCACTACCGTTCTTTAAAATGCTTTTTCTTTCTTAGTCAAGTTATCATTCTCTTTGTTAACACTGTGGGGATGACGACACAAACTTTGAACATAGGGTCCATGCTGGGGGATGCTAAGCCTTCATAAAAAGGGAAGGGACAACCATTGTTTAGTCGACAGAACCAGCCTGGGTTAGGTCAACCTGCACACACAACCCAGAGAAATAAATTCGTAGTAAAATGTAGTATTTGTGGCAGCACTACTGAATGCTGGTTATTTTTTCTCCCAACTTTAATATTTTTTTCCACGTGTAGAACCTACAGACCTTTTGGTCAGTTCAGTTCTCCTAAAGCTTCAATTAGCACATTATGCACAGAAAACTTGAGGAAAGCAAATTAAAAAAAAAAAAAATCTTTCCCTAACATAAATATCCTTTGTGGCATTGAAAATTTATGCAGCTTGGCATGGGTCTTGGTCTTGCTGGAGAGCTAAGTAGAAATTTCTGTTCCCTACTGCTTAGATGTTAGGTTTGTCAGATCTTTGTTTCTTCTTGACCATAAAGGTCTAACATGACCTTGGTTAACACTGACATGCTTATGTAGCATGAAACACACATTCCTTAACTGATCCAAATTTTTGAAGATACTCCGTACTAATACATATGCTGAAGAAATAATTCTGATACTTGGATACAGATCAAAATGTTCTTGTTATGAAGACAAACAAAGTTGATGGAAACAACCTTTAAACAAAAATATATACTAATTACATATTTGCATTCTAGAGCTTGGCAATAATGTTTAACTTGGCTACATTTATTAAAAACTTAATGGGCAAATACAATGTTACTGATTTTTTTGTTTGTTTAAGAAATGTGGTCAGTGTGTAATCAGGTTTTACATAAACTTGGTAGAAAACCAAATTAATCTTGTACAGATGTTAAAAAGTTGTTTCAAAGGATCACCTTTATATGTTTATGGATGACTTTATAACAGGGCAAACTTAGTTTAACTGAAATAAAGTTTTTTGTACTATCTGGTATGAAAGGATAGTGCCAGAGGCGAAGGATGGTGAGCAGTGAGCTAGGTGAGTTGTCAGATACAGATGGTAAAAAGCAGATTTCAGCTTTCTCTTAATTACTGCATTAAATGTATTTAGCTGTCATTCCAACAGAATGATAAATTTAGCTGTAGCACAGAAATCAGTAATGCAGCTGACATTGTTAAAGATTGCTGTCTTCTTTAAAGTAGTTTTGAATGAAAGTATTTTGTGCAGGTGCTTTGAAACTGTGACTTATGATTTCTTTTATCCACTTATCCATTTAATCTATTAGAAAATTAGTTGTTGGTTCAGAAGGTTTAACATAATGAATTGAAAGCCGTTTCTTCTTTGTGTCCTACTGAAAAATTTGACCAGAACATTTTGTTCATACTCATGGAAAATTTGCATTAGTTTAGAATGCGTTTTATTTCATATTCATTCTGAATTTAGGTTTCTGGTTTTGTCTGAGGCCACTACATCTTTAAAACAGCTGCTCTTCCTTCACAGGCCTATGAAGAGTACACCAGCAAACTAGATGCTCTGCAGCAGAGAGAACAGCAGTTACTGGAATCCATGGGGAACGGAACAGATTTCTCTGTCTCCAGTTCAGCTTCCACAGACACAGTTGCATCATCATCCTCCTCTAGCCTCTCTGTAGCACCTTCATCCCTTTCGGTTTATCAAAACCCTGCTGATATGTCACGGAATAACCCTAAGTCTCCCCAGAAGCCTATTGTTAGAGTCTTCCTGCCCAACAAGCAAAGGACTGTGGTGAGTTAGTTTCTATTCACATACTTGTAACCTCAGTATTTCCTGTATCTCCCTCTCTCTGTATGCAAAAGTTAATTTAGGAGCTGAAAAAATACCTGTGTGGAGGTCAGAGAGGTGGCACGATCACTGTTTGTGCTCTGCTGCGCTCGGTTGTTTTGATATGTTGAATGTTTTCTACAGGGTTAACACAAAGATGTCCATTACAGCAATAATACAGAATACAGAACTTTCAGGAGTCTTACAACAATGAAGATACCTCAAGAAATATTTTTCTCAAATCAGCTTTCTTGGATAAATAATAATCTACCATTTTACAATGGTTAGGAGGGGGCAGGAAGCTCTATGTCCTGTATGATACAAAATTACTGATTAGTTTAACAGGGCAAAATTGGGGAAAGTAAGTGTTTTCCATGTTGTCAAAGTTGCGAGTAGCAGTGAATGCTTTAGAGCAAGGACCGATCTCCTGCAGCTGAGGAAGGCTGTGCAGAATCACCTCTTTTTTGTTTGGTTGGTTTTTATTTTTTTTTCTTTTCCTCCTCAGTCACTGTGGTGAGCGTTTTGTGTTGGGACCCTGATGCTATCAGGCCCTGTGTAGAGAACTGGCTAAGGGAGGGATCTAGTTGCTATTAGGAGGGGCAAGAAGCAGTAGTGTTTGTCAGTTTTGACAATGTTACAGTGATTCCTGGAGTCTTGGAAGAAGAGTTGACTTTCTGCTGGTTATTTAATTGCCCATTATAGGTGGTATTTTTGTGTCAGTTAAGAGCTGCCAACCAAAGAGCCTTGATATGTACTTTAGAATAATACACTGCAAACTGTGACACACGAAATTACTGACAAGCCATAGTCTAGGCTCTGTTTTGCAAGCAGGTGCATATTCCTCACTTAGAAGGGGAGCCGTGGTTCCAGAGAAAAGTAGGAAATAAGTGGATAGCACAGCCAGTGTCCACGTGAAACCAGTGCTTTTTGTAGCAGTCGGTCAGGTTCTGGCTGTCACTGGACTGTGACTGCCTGTGGAAATTGTGTTGCTGGCAAAGAGAAGAAAACCTAAACTAAGTAGCAGTGGGCATTTGGAACATGTCTTCTCCCTTCCCCTGCTGCTTTCCTTCCATCCCTCCCTCCCCCTGCCCCACTGAACAAAAGGGATCAGAAGACTTACTGTGGGAACGACAGAGTAAAGGGCAGTTGTTTTCACCTGATTTTTTTTTTTTAATTTTGTTAAAGATATCACTAAAGATTGAAAGTAGGGTTTGGTTTTTAAACTAGAGGATGGGAGTTTAGTGCAAACTATGACCACTGTGCAGATGTACCGTGCTAAGCAAGGTGATTGTGTTGTCTGCCTGTGAGGTATGGCTAGGCACGTAGAAGTACCCGCAATGTGAAATTTGGAAAGACCCTGGTTTCTTCTTTGTGTCTGCTGGCCATTGTAGCCTCAGCCCCTCTGACAGGGCTGTCCCACAAATTGGTTTTGTTTCTTTCCTGCACCGGGTCACAGTTTATCGCTTCCTGCGTTGTTCTGTGCATTTCCTTTTCTCTCTCTCCTATGTGTTATCTCATCCTCTTCTCTAAGCCATATATAGTTTATTTCTACTCTTATTCTTTTCTCCTCATCTGCAACATTGCTCTTCTGCTCCTTTCCCTCTCGTCTTTTTTACCTCCTTCTCAATCCTTTTATCAGAGGTGTGATAAGGCTTTTCTCAAGTCTGAGCTCTGTTTTGCTTTTGAAGAGATTGTTTTATATAAAGAATAGCTTATAATTATGAAATATATGACATCAAACTTGTAGGCAAGAATGAATTTTTTTTGATGTTCACATGTGTGTATTTCACCAAGTTCAAGTTATTTCTGAATATGCAAATCTGATTACAAGTTAGAAAAAAGAGGCAACTGAATGTCAGTGTGAACTGGGTGATACAATTTTGAGCCTGTACAGAAGTGTCTTGCCTCATCCGAGATGTCGTTTTGTGCATGTTGTTGGGCCATTCTAGTTGAAGTAAAACAGCTTATATTCAACCAATGCATCTTTCAGTTCTTAAGTAACAGTAAACAGATCGGCTTGGTTTGCTCAAAAATACGTGTGAGACTGTGCTTTCCAGGACTAGTGTTCCTTCTCACTTTTATCCCTAAACTTTCAGGTTTTTGGTGAATGTTGTGATTCTGCGGTATCAGTCATGTTCATTAGGAGCTTGCAGGTTTAACCAGAGAGATTGAAGTTCAAGAGCACCAGCTTGCCTGTTGCCATGTCTTGACTAAGAGGTAACTTTCTAGCTTGAGGATGTGCTGTCAATTGATGAGGGAATTGTAGCACTTAGCAGCAGTGCTCAGTGACTGGTGGCAGGGCGATAGGAGTCCTTTCCAGCACTGAATCTACTAGGTGCTCTTTCCTGGCTACAGGAGGCCAGCGTGGTTTCAGCTGGGTGTAGTCAGGGAGAGGCTCTTGCTCCTGTCTCCAGCTCTCTACTGGAGTCTAAACACCATTTGCCTTACCAGTCTAGCCCTGCAGCTTGTTTCCAGCTTGCTAAATGTGGGATGCTAGGAGCAGAGCTTCAGGAAAATCTGTTGTCTTGTGCTGTGGTAATTTAAAAAAAAAAAAAAAGTACCGATGGAAGAGTAGTAGGAGACAGGCTAGTGGGACGGGGTGGGGGTGTAAGTCCCTTTAGTCTCAAATCTGGTATAAGTGTGTCTGTACGTGCACTTCCATAAAGGAACAGACAGATCCCTGCAGATGCAGGGAGACATAAGCTACACATATGGGGTCACTGGCTAGAAAGTTGACAGGATTCAGCTTCATATGCTGTATAGCAAGGTGGAAGTTTGCTCCAGTTCTGCTAGGAGACACCCATTTTCAGTTGAAACTGATGTTCTAAATAAGCAAACAGAAATATATACTCGGATCTGGTCAGCAGATACTACAAAGTAATGGTTCAGCTTTGGCTCAGGGAGAGAGCTGACTTCTTTTTACTTCAGTTTTACATATTGCTTGGATCTAGTTATGCTATTGAGTTGAACTTTTTTTTTTTAATAGACTCAGTATTTAATAGACCATTATCTCTGTCATAGAGCTGGCAAATGGTGCTTAGAGGAACTCCGAGTGTTGGGGTTATTGGCCTTGGAGATGAAGTTCATTTCTCTGAAACTCCAAACAGTGCTCATGTTATTGAGAAAGTCAGGAGTTTCTTGTATGGCGACTCTTAATGTAGTTACTCTGTTTTCAGTACTTATTGATCCTACACCCGTAGTCTGTTGAAAACTAAGGGAATTCTAGAAGCAAACCCAATTCAGAAGGAATTGCGGCTTACAGTGCAGTTTTAACTGCAAGTAGTCAGATGATAGGCTACCACCCAGCAGTTTTCAGTGAATACAGAGATTACTTGCTGTAGTATGTCTCCTTTGGTCTCTTAATGGGTAGAGCAGTGTTGCACATATCTTAGTCTTCCTTCATAACCTCTGGCTTTAAAAACAGACCTGTCGTGTCTCACTTGTGCCCATTAACTGAGCCATTTGCTTATGTAGCCATGATGGTAGTTTAGGGTTTTCAAGTACACAGGGATAGCTTCAGATGTGATGGGTTGAAGCAGGAAGGAGATGCCTTGTGAAAATACATGGTACCTGCTATTAGGGCCTCCCTCTGACCAAGTCCCCATTCCATATGGCTGTTAAAGTAAGGATAAAATGTGTCCTACAACCAAGCGTGCAGCTGGGAGAGGAGAAATGCTCTTAAAATTGCACTGTTGCAACAAGCTTCCTTCCACCCCAACCTTAACTGCTTTCAGTTAATATCTGCTTCTGAAAGAAATCTTTCTTAATATCACAATAATATTTTCAGCCTCTACTTCCAACCACAGACCCACTTCAGGAGGTGAGAAATCTTGGCAGATACTAGGGAGTCTTTGCTTACTTTTGTCTGGGAATGCAACAACAGTTCTTAAACTGACATAATTTGAAGCGACTGGAATTAAATTTGTGATGGAGAACAAACCTCCTCATTTATCTTTGATCGTATTCTGAAGGGGTCCCAAGTACTATAACAGCCTTCTGCTACTTGTTTAGAACTGTTAAAAATGCAGGAAATGGCGGCGGAGGGGGAGATGCTTACGGTTTTGACTAGCAACCGCCTTGTTACTTGAGAGTTGTCTACATCTTTTGTTTATTAGTAGTATTGTTTGTGTGTAGGATCAGGCAAATACATCTGTTTGAGTTGGCTCCAATTAGAAATACAATGTGACGGAACTGATGGAGTACAAAGAAATAAGACCACGTTAATCAGTGTAAGTGATTTTGTTGCATAGGTAGTGTAGCTAATGTCAGATTTCTTTGCACATGTCATGATAAAGCAGAGTGTTGGATAGAAAGTTTTTCCTAATGTAGGAAAAGGTGTGAAGGTGCTTCCTTGAAAGCCTAGCCTAGTAAGTGGTGGAGCCTGCTGATGATGATCAATTAGCAGTTGAAGTCAGCATCTTGATTCAGCCCATGACACAGCAGGGTCAGAATGTAACTTTTTTTTGAAAGCAAAACCAAGTTTATCCCCATAATGCAGAGATGTAAATGTCTGAGATACGTATGCTTCCTGTTTCCTCAGTGGCATGGTTCAGCTGGCAAGTTAAATGTCCTTTGGAGAAGCGTTCTGCATAGATGTGACCAGGATAAGTCTGCGTGGGTTTTTTTTTTTTCATTTTCTTTTGTTCTAGGCCAGAGAAGGATGTTGAAATAATGCAAGTGCAAGGTGGGAAAGGTCTACCTGAGATTGTCAGTTATTTTGCAAAACAAATCAAAGAGGCTTATCCAAACTGTGGGTGGGGAGAATGTAGG